ACCTGCACAGCAAGAGCATCTGGGGAAGCAAAGTGCAACCATGCACAGAGGGCTCTTCCTCATTCTGTAAGGATACGATGGTGGCTAATAGAAACTAGAGTTGGCGAGAAAAAGGTATTAGCAAAGAAACTAGAATTTGCCGCTTTCATTTTGAGCATGTGCATTGATATTCTACATTGAGAAAAATTAAAATCTTGTAAGATTTTGTCACTGTAAAGAGATCAATTATGTGCATACATTTTAAGTGAAAATCATAGAAACGCTTTCCGACCCCCAAACTGGTAAAACGCAGGGGGATTTAATTTATTAAGAATGAACCGAGTGTCTGCAGGGACTCCTCCTCGTGTGCAGTTCTCTTAAAAAGGCAAAAAAAAAATTTTTTTGAAGAAGTTTTTGGTGCTGAGGAGCCTCGCAAGGCACAAAAGCAACGCAGACCCCGGTCTGCCTGGAAGACCCAAGACCGTGCAGGGTGGCAGGCGGATGCCGAGGCCTGCAGCCAGGAAGCAGGCGCGCTGGCGACAGCACAGGAGAGGTTAGTCAAGTCCTGAGCTGCAGTTTCTTGACGTGGTATCTACTTTGCGCTAACTGTCCAAGAGATCTGTTGTAGAACTGTGAAGGAATTTGCAGGTTATTTTGATGAAATTTTGCATTTCTTTGTGAAAACCAAGTGTTTACATAAAAGTGTGTTTTCAGGCAAATTAATGGCCATTTTGAACAAAGCACATTTTTTACAAATCACTTTTCTCATTATAAATGTGGAAAAGGACATATAAATAACATTTGTAGTCATGCATGTAATCACTGTAATCCCTCCTGCCAAGGTGGCTGACCCACAGTTCTTTATATAAATATTGTGTCTAATTATATCACATGGAATATGTTTTAAAAGTAATACAAATTTCCTTTTAAAATATTGGTTATTGCTTTCTGTGGAGGGTCTGCATAAACCAAGTGGATCCTTATCTGTGTGGTATTGTATTTGAAAGTGTCGAAGAAGTGACGAATCAACGTTTCAATGTCAAAGTTTCAACGTTTCTGTCTGTCACTCTCCGCTTCGCCTGTCTTTCTAGCTGTGCAACCTTAATCATGCCAGATTGTGAACAGAGCTGAACAGATCAACGAGAGTTTGATAAATGTGGAAACAGGCCATGTAGAGAATGCATGTTTGCTTTGGGTTGTCTAAATCACATTTCAATATTTTAGAGTTGTGAAAGCAATTCATACACCTTTCAGAGGGGTGGGAAACACTGAAAGCGCGCACATTAGTGAATAAATTCTATTTTCACACACAGCTCGAGGTCGCTGGGGCCTCTCCCCACCATCTCATAGCTTCTGTCTTCCTACAGTCCTCACACTCTGCCATCCTCACACCCAAACCCTGAACTGAGTGCTGGATCATGTTCCTTTGCTTTGCTTACTTGCTGTTTTCCTCCACATATGTCCAACACATGTTTGTTGGATGAATAAATGAAATGACTAGAAGTTACCCCTTGAGCGGTGCGGCCTGCCCCTGCCTGCGCCTTCTGCCCCCCGGGGAAAACCCCGTGACCACCGCTCACGAAACCTCACTGCAGAATTCCCTGGGCCCTGGGAGGCAGTGTCACGGAGCCCGCCCTCCCCCGGCCCCGGCCCACCGGGGTGGGAGGAGGCGGGTTCGCTCTCTGAACGGGACAGCCCGCCACGCAGCAGGCACCCGGCCCCTCCGGGGTCCCGCTCACCTGCTGGGTCCCCACCTTGGCCAGTCCCCGCCCCCACCACAGGACGCCTGTCCCGGGGGTCCAGGACTGGACGGAGGCCGTTGGCACCGTTTGCCAGACCCAGCCAGGCCGCACCCAGCCCCTCCCCTGTCCCGGAGAGGCCCTGGCCCCCCACACCCCTGGCGCCTCCCAGGGCCCCCCCCCGCCCCGGGGCCCCTGGCCTGGCTCAGCTGTGGGTCCTCAGGTGCCCCCCTCTCACACAGCCCCAGCCCACCCTCACGGGGGCTCCCCCTCCCTCCCTCCGCTCTGGGGGGGTCATCAGTCCAGCTGGCAGGGCTCCCGCCCGGCTTTGCACTGGGCCTCTCCGGCTCTGGCAGAGCTCCCCCCTCCAGCCTCCTGAGGCCCCTGAGGGGCTGGGGCCTGCTGCCTGCTGCCCGGCCCGGCCCCTGACCGAGTCCTTGCTTCTCAGCGTCAAACGGAAAGGTTTCAACATCTCAGAATTGGAAGTCATTTGTGATTTTTATGAGACTATGAATTGGTATAGCATTTTGAAATAAAATTTCAGAAATATGTATTCAGAAATACATATATTCATACTCAGTGTCGCCTCATGCCCACTAGCAAGGGTGTCTTATTAGAAAACATTTCCTTGTAAGCACTAATGGCGAGTTTAAATATGTGGATTTCGTTTTAATACTCACAGGACAAGTGGAAATCAATGTGTGTACCCACCACTAAAACTCGGCTCGTTAATGCACATACACACATGGGCATTTGGGGGGCCAGCTTGCCAGGTGGGGTGCCCGCATGCTCCCCCTGCAGATGCTGTGTCTGCTTTATTAAGTGAGGGCACGAGTTGCTTACACCCCTCCTATGTGTTGAATAAAACTAATACAGGTAATAGTATATCCATGAAAAGCGTCCGAGGTAAACTAACATCTGGGCTGTGAATCTCTGGGCAAGGGGCTGAAGTGTGGACTGAGTCTGAAAAGGGGAAATCAGGGCCGAGTGATGTTTTCCAATTTTCGCAGCTGGGATCGGCGTGCTACTGCTGTGCAGGGAAACACTTACAAAAGCCTCACCACCATGAGGACAGGGAGAGCGCTCATCCTCGCCGGCGCTGCCGTCATGGGCCGAACTGAAAGTTCCAAGGCCGCGTAGGCCCCACACGCAGCCAGTGGCCTTGGGGTCCATTTGTTTGTGTCTACATCCAGCTGGTGCTTTCTAAGGAACGTTCCTTTTTCTCTTCCCGAGGGCGAGTGAGGAGTGTGGCCTGAGCAAGTGGCTGGGCTGTGTGGGTGGCGTCCGCCTGGCCAGGCGAGCTCGCTCCTCAGCTCCTCATCAACAGCCTGAAGCCATGTGGTTGGCCAGCGCCTCGGGGTGCCTACTCCTCCGCCTGAAACAGGCGTCCAGGGCAGGCGAGTGTGCAGGAAGACGGGGCATGAGTGCACCCCAGGACACAAGGTGAAAGCAGCCAACGTGCATGGATCTGAGGCAAAGTGAAGGAGCCGGTCAGGACAGACGCCCGGCGGTGTCCAGGGCTGAGCGCCAAGAAACGAGGGAAGGAACCGACAGCACAAAGCCAGAACACACTCTGGGCCCTGAGAGCAGACCTGAGGCACCCAGCGGGGAGGGGGGTTGAGCGCACAGGGCGTGACGGTCGCTGGTGGGGGGGTGTGGGGCAGACACTGAGGAGGTGTGAACCCGCACCCCTAAAACACACGCCGCATTGAAAACCAGCAGCACCTCCAGAAAAATTAATTGTAAGCCATTTAAAAGAGCAGGAGGCGGTAATGCAGGTGTCATCCCAGCCAGGCCTGGGAGGTGGTGTCAAACCACGATGTGCCACGAATAGAATTGCTTTTTCTGCTTAATGGCAAGCAGCCTGCTAGAAGGGGGTATAAATCGATAACTAGTTTTCGACCAACTCGGGGCCGAAGGACAGAACCCATTAGCAACAATCCTGCCGCGTGTCGGCTGTGAGAGGACAAGGCCGCTGGAGAGTACACGCGCTGTCGGCTCTGCTCGCTCCCTGTGGGAAGCCTGTTCCAGGAGCTTTCTGCTTTTGGAAATTCCTAGAACTAGCTCTGCTTTACGGTCAATATGGCTAGCTCCCCTGTTGCATGGCAGACAGAAATGGCACCTTTCCGTTGCTGTGTACATAGGAGAACGTGAAGATCATTACTGAAGAAAACAACAATTTTAAATTCACAAAAGGACACTATCCTTGGCCCTCACCACCATTTCCGTTCAGTCCACGCCACCGAAAGTGTAGCCCTGGCTTACAGTGTCCAAATCACTCCAGATCCTCGAATTCAAAGTCCGTTCACACAGTGGGCTTCCACAGCCAGGAAAGCAGTGCCGGGCCAGAGGCCCCAGGGCCCCCCACAAAGGAGCTGATTTTGCCCAGAAGCCACGCACACGGCGGACAGAACCCGAAGGTGGCCACGCCTTCCGCCCTGCGCACTCTGCTCTGGTCTACCCAGCGTTCAGGAAACAACTACTAAGCACCGTTTTCCACTGCTGGCATTACTGCCCCCTAGACACGCCAAGAGGCCGGCCGTGGCCACCAGCCCCCTTCATCATCCTCAGTCCCTCCAGGCCACCAGCCCCCTTCATCATCCTCAGTCCCTCCAGACGGGGCTGTAGTCCTAGCCCCCCAGATTACCCTGCGGCAGGGTGTTGGCACAGGAGTGTTTTCTGGGCGCCCCTGCTCATCCCTCACGGGCCTCGGCACTTGCGATGGGGAGGCGTCTCTCCATCTTCCAAAGTACTGCTCCCCGTGGCTGACACGGCCGCCTGCAGCCCCGGCCTCAGCAAGGACTGGGGAATAAACGACTCGGTGAGCAGGGGTCTTGTTTATTAAGATTTAATTTCTTATATATTTTTAATAAATCAAGCGCATCCAGGTACAGATCACTTCATTTTGCAGAGCGTGAAACAGGATAAGAAAGGCAAGAACTAATAATTTCCTGCATTAAGCTTTATTTGTCGACCCTTTGATTCACTGCCGTCTATTCCAAGGCCATGTTCTCTTGCTGCAGATCACAAAATGAGATGGACAATTTCCAGACTTGTTTTACGAAACAGCAAGAAGCTCCCTCCTTAGACTGAGTAAACATCTGTGACAATGTCATCTGCAAACTCAGAACTCACTCATTAACCTTGTGTGATCAGAATATTTGAAACAGCAAAAGGGAGGAAAATGAGCACATCACAAAGGCGCGGTGTCCCGAGGTCTGCTGCTGCCCCTCGGTCTAGAAGAAAGGTTGCTCTCCTCAAGCACAGAGCGAAACTTGGGCCTCAGATGTCACCGGGGGCCAGAGAAGCTGCTGGTTGTGGTGCCAAAACAGGCTCCAGCCCTGGATCCCCGGCTGGCTCAGCTTGGCCACCTGCCCCGGCCCCCTCGCCTGCCCCGGCCTCCTCTCCTGCCCCGGCCTCCTCGCCTATCCTGGCCTCCACGCCTGCCCCGGCCCTCTCACCTGCCCCGGCCTCCTCGTCTGCACCGGCCCCCTCGCCTGCCCTGGCCCCTTCGCCTGCCCCAGCCTCCTCGCCTGCCCCAGCCTCCTCGCCTGCCCCGGCCTCCTCGCCTATCCCAGCCTCCTCGCCTTCCCCAGTCCCCTCGCTGGGCCCCTCACCAGCCCAGGCCTCCATACGTGCCCCGGCCCCCTCACCTGCCCCAGCCCCCTCGTCAGCCCCAGCCCCCTCGCCGGCCCCCTCACCAGCCCTGGCCTCCACGCCTGCCCCGGCCACCTCGCTGACCCAGGCCTCCACACCGGCCCAGGACCCCTCGCTGGCCCAGGCCCCCACGCTGGCCCAGGCCTCCACGGCTTCCCTGGCCCCCTCGCTGGCCCCCTCGTCAGCCCCAGCCTCCTCTCCTGCCACAGCCCCCTCGCCGTCACCAGCCCCTTCCCCTGTTCCGGATTTCTCTCTCTCCTCTCTCAAGGCCTCCTCGTACCAGATAGGAAAGGCACTAGGGACAGTCTCATTGATCTTGGCCAAAAACTCAAGGACTTTCATCTTGCTGGTCTCGGCGTGGGTCCGGGGACCCCACAGGAACTCGTAACGGGGGGGATCACTGCCGGCCACCTGCCGGTACTCCAGGTACTGCTCCTGTACCCACACTTCAGTGAGGAGCTTCCTGGGCTCCCCATAGATGAAGTGCTCTATCCCAGCATACACCCCCACAGCCCCCAGTACCTCCCAGATGTCTTCCTCAGGGGCGCTGTTGCCATCCATGAAGATCACACCCAGGATGTTGACCAGCAGGCCCGTCTTGGGCAAGGTCTGCTCGGGGCCCAGCATCCCGTTGCGGGTGAGGCCCAGGGTGTTGTTCAGGACATAGGAGTCGCCGCCGGGCTCTGCCTTCTCCACATCAAGGCCGAAGACCAGCTGCATGCACTCGCACGCTTGGCTGAGGATCTCGGGGAAGTACTCCTGGTCACTCTTGATGACGCTGCTCAGCATCTCAGCCTTGGTGGTCGGCTCCTTCGTGCGGAACTTCAGGAGTAGGAAGTCCACCAGGTCTCCCACCTTGTCATCTATGGCATCTTTAGGCCAGGACCTGCTGTCTGGCTCCAAGGTGCTGGGCTCCTCCTTTTGGGTGCTGGAGTCTGGGTCTGATTTGACCGGGGGAGTGGCAGCCATGGCTGGAGGAAGAAGTGGACTGAGAGGGCTTGGCAGCCACAGAAGCCTCGTTCAGGGCGCCTGGGGTCACAAAACAGCAGGAACAGGAAGAGGAGGACAAGGATGAGGGGGAGAAGGAGGAGCGAGAGGAGGGGCAGGAAAAGCCAGAGGGAGGTGGCTTCTTCCTCCTGGTCTCAGGAACCTGTGCACTCACGGCCCTGTGTGTCTCCCTTTCAGACTGAAGGCCCTACTCAAGCACGCAGCGCTAACGACTAAGAGTGCATGCTGTGACAAAATCATTTGGCAGCAGTGTGGACAGGAAGTGGCCAGTGGGACCCACGGGCCTGGGGACACACAGGGTGAGCGGCCTATGCTGGAAAGCATTTGCCTGGCGGCCAGACAAAGCCGACTGGCAGGCTCCTGGTTAGGGGGCTCCCAGGCCTCACCTGCTGCCCTCCTTCCACATGACATGAACCCATGTCCTCCACAGTGCGAGGACCTGGGGCTGACGGGGGCAGGCTGGGGTCGGGTGCTACGGAGCCCCTCTGTCCAGGTGTTGGGCAAGCCCCACTCAGGGCAGACACCTCACCTTGACTCCTGGTGCTGCCGGTGCTTCCTGTGATCTGTGACCTGACGGCGCGTGCCTGCAAGGTGAGGCAAGGACTTCACCCCCGGGTTCCTGGAGTCCCTGTAGCGGGAAAGCCGGGGTACATCAGGGTCCAGACAAGCACAGCCCTGGGTGCCAGTGTTGACAGAAGGGGTGTGCTCTGGGGTGGGCAGTGGCCTCTACGCGTAGGTCCTCAAATTTCCTGGCGGGGCTGGGGCCCTTACCCTCTGCTGGCCTAAAGCGAAGCTCTCAGAACAAGACCACACAGCCCTGGGGGAGAGGACAGAAATCCGAGGAGACCCCACAGGCCACAAGTGCCGAGGAAGGACAGGAAGGGCTGGCTGGAGCACCGCTCTGGATAGCACACCCGTGCTCACCGTGGTCCCAGGCAGGGACCCTCCTCGAAGGGCTTGCCCTGCAAGACACCTAAGGTGGAAAGGAGGGGGCACCCACTTGCAGCTGCTATGCCTCAGGGCTTTCTGCGGCTAAAAGCAGGGGCAGGAGCTTGGGGTGTCCTGCCTCTGGCAAGGGTCCCAGGGGCTCTGGGGCTCACAGTTTGACAGCTGATGTCTCCCAGTGCTCACAGCTTGCATCACCCTCCCTCGGGGTTCTTACTTGCTTCTGGGGGGCAGGCCCCACCTCCCTTTGCTGACTTAAGGCCCTGTTCCCAAAACCAGGTCTCAGGTACCTCTCAGCCCTGCCTGCGGAAGTCAGGAGGCCACAGGGTCACTGCCGGCCTCTGAGGTCTCTGTTGCAGGATCACCCTCCTTCCTCCCTTGAGCTCCTCCCCTTGACTCCAGTCTGGGCCTCCTTCTGCCCACCCGAGACTCTGCTCTTAATACCAAGTGCCCAGTCTCTCACAGAAGTGAATGAGAAAGTCAGACAGCCCCACCTCAGTCAAGGGGTGTCCCCGTGTGTGTAAGCGGACACACACATGCTCCCCAGGAAATTCCTGAGGGACCCAACAGAGTGGTTGGGTGAGCACCCTCTCCGCCTCAGGGAACTTGGGGAGTCTGCCCTATGGAGGCGCCTCCTATTGCATCGTGCTAGTAAGCCATGTGCTGCACCTCTCAACCGCGTGTCAGCCTGTAACGCGCGTATAGAGGTGTGCGCACGTACAGAGAGGTACACACATGCTCCTCATACCCCCGCTCCCACTTCTCTGACTCCAGACTCTGCTCTCGGCTGTGGCAGCGGGACGCCACGTGGGCCTCTGCCCTGGGGCCTCCAGGACAGACTCTGCCCAGAGTCCGGGTCTCTCAGCAGCTTCCTCCACCAGGCAGAACCCGGCGTTCGCTCCGTGGCCGAGCCCAGCCCCCACCACAGCTTTCCAGGGCTGATTCTCAAAGCAGGAAACAGCAGGAAGCAGCAGCCCGCAGGTGTTAGTGGGCATCTATGGGTGAGGCACGGAGTTACTAGCTGCTTTAGAAGACCTGACAGTCAGCTCCCAACCACGAGCGCTTCAGATTTTACCTTTGACAGTGGGCTTCTGCATTTGTGAGTAGTCCTTTAGGTAATGCGTGGACTTTCTTGCTGTGTGACTGGCTGTTGTCTATTCTTTGCTCTGCTTAGTCCTTGCTTTTGTGTGGCAATGGCTCTCACTGTGCTAAAGAGCTGCTATGCAACAGCATCCTGAACTCTCGTTCCCTAGGACATTCCACATGCTTATTCTTTTACATTTTCAAGATAGCATCTGTTTTTGAGTTAAAAAGAATGAGTCCAGGGAATAAATTGAACAAGTGTCTTATTTGTGTGTGCTTTGATGAGCTGACGCGAGATGGTAAGTTCTCTCTGACCATTTGGTAGAAATGGCCTCTCAGATTGCTTGCTCTGGGACATTTCAGGGTGACTTGAACTTTGAATACGATTTCAGTTTTTGTGCTTTAATTCAACTTTCCCCTTTTTATGGGTCCATTCAGTGAGTTTTTTCCCCAAACAAGTGGTCAGTTTCACTTACTGTTTTATCTTTCAATATGTGCTGTTTAAAATCAAAACTTATTACAGAAACTCTCGAATACAGGTAGAAATAAGAACAGTCCAAAGAATTCCAAATACCCTGCACTTAGTCTCAACAAACTTAAATGCATGACCAGTCTAATCCAGTTTATCCCCACCTAAGCTGCGCCTCAGCTGCTTGAGCGATTTATCAATAAAAACGACTCAAGATCCCATATACACCATTGGTTCTCTAAATATTTCAACATGCATCTTAATAGCTAAGAATTATCTTATAAACTAGAAAGCCAATGTAATTATCATTCCTTGAAATCAAATAATCATCACCCCATGTCTAACTGTTTTCCACTGTTATCTGTAGGGTAGTATTTTTAAAAAAGATCTTTGCGATGACTATGTAAATACAGCCTACAGATAATGATTTTTGAGGTATATTTTAAACGTAGGATCTTACCATATGACTTCTTTTTTCCCTGCAATTTTTTCTTTCGTGGGGAAAAATCACAGGTCTGATTCATTCCCACTTCCTGTAGTCTGGGTCTTGCTGAATGCGACTCGGTGATGCCCTTTAAAACGCTCCTCAGGCCCTCCCTGGTGGCGCAGCGGGTTAAAGCGCAGCACTAAGAAGCTTAAGCCGCTTCCACATGAGCTCGATCCCTGCCTGCCCCGGAGGTGACCCCAGGGCGCCGCAGACCTCTCCTGACCCGCCCGCTGCTCCCCTCAGCAGTGGACTTTGTCGATCTGCCTGTTCTGCTCCCCACTCTGTCTCTGGTGAAGCCTCTCGCCGCCCCTGAGCCTCTGGCCTGTACGCCAGTTCTGTATGCACAAATAAATAAATCTTTAAAACGCTCCTCAGCCCTAACTTCCCAGGTTAGAAGGTGCCCGGGTTGCCCTTGTAGATTTCCTGCCATCGCCCCAGAGCCAGCCATTTCCCCAGTCCTCTGGTTCCTTCGGGGGGTGGGGGTCATTTTAGAAATCCAGATCAGGGTATTAATAAGGGCTACCAGGGAGCCCTTAGTCAAAAGACCCTCCCCGCGGACAAAGCACTTCATCTGTGTGCGTGCTGACAGGTGTAACGTCTACAGATACGTACAGGTGCAAACGTGCACGTCTACATCAAGCTGACCATTGACTTTCACAGACGTTCGCTCAGTAACACAAGGCCCTTCTAGACTCCTCCGCACGCTTCCCTGTGCCCTCCCACTGCATCTGGGTCAGCCGCCCATTCAAGTGGAGCTGTACCAGCTCTGCCCATGCCCATGCCTTGGCATCCCCACGAAAAACAAATTGCTCACCTGGAGTGAAGTGTTTGGTGTAGTTCATGTCACCTTCACTAGCACAGACCCCACTCATTTCTGAGTTTACTTCAGGAGGGCCGGAGTGGGCCTGCGCGGCTGGAGGCCAGACTGGAAGGTGCACAGGGGCTGGACCTGGGGTGCGGTTCAGCACCAAAGACAAGACTCAGGATCGATCCCACGTTATCCCGCAGGAAAGGAGAGAGAAGGATTCGGGTTCTTGCCTGTGTGTGGGCTGGCAGGCGGGGCAGAGCTCCCCGCAAAGGCGCACACCCCACCCTGTGCAGTAAGCAGCTGAAGGTTCTTCACAGAACCCAGAGTCTCTCACTACTAACGGTCAAGAACAGCACGTGCTGGCACCAAAATAACAGCACCAGAACCCGAACTCCAACACAAAGCCGCCGGTGGAGCAATGGCTTCTTGAAGGTGAACAGTGGCAGGCTCCCTCAGTGTAGGCAATGACTTACTGAGGGCTTTTTATTTTACCTTTTAGTTGTGAGATTACTTGTAGACTCACATGCAGTCATAAGACATGCACCCTCTAGCCAGTTCCCCTTTATAGATGTAAAGCCGAGGTGGTATAATATCACGGGTGGGATTTTGACCTGGGCTCATCAGTCAAGATCCAGAACATTCCCATCATTGCAAGAATCCCTCATGTCGCCCATTGACGGACCAGTATACTTTTCCCGGCCTCATCCGTTCCTTAGTCCTTGATAGTGATTGATCTGTTCTATATTGTTGTCATTTCGAGAATATTCTGCACATTACATGGTCACCACATAAGGTCTTTTCACTCAGCATCATGCTGCAGACGCATTCGGGCCCTGGTGCTGCACTCCGGTTGCCCGTGTCTGTACTGTTCAGTGATGTTCCCTGGGCGTAAATGCCACATTATCGGCCCAGTACCCCCACTGAAGGGCAACTGGCTTGTTCTGGTGTTTTGTGCACAAAGAAGTTGTGAACCTTCATGACAAGGCTCCATGGGAAAACGAGTGTTCCCTCCTCCGGACAGACGGCCCGGGGTGAGGGGCTCCTTAGTTCTGTTTCTTCCAGCACCGCCGGAGTGGTGGGGTTCTCTGTGCCCTCAGCAGTTTCTTCTCACCTTTTAAAATGTTCACCGCTCTGACAAATGCATCGCCCCTCTCACTGTGGCTCACTCG